TATTTATTTTCTCGGCACGATATTATCGATTTCATTAGGGTTTCGTTAATTTCGGGTAAGTGGTCGTTTAGAAATGTTCCATTTTCTAACTTGGACGATTGCAGTCCCAATAGTTTTATATGGAGCTCCCAAATCCACGCGTTCACTATAAATTTTCCTTTGTACGATACGTCTATCATATTGTAAACGTACCGGGAAATGTCTTCCAACGAATCTTTTACGTCTGGTAAAATGAACAACAAATGTACATAATTCGTGCACCGTATTTCTTGTAATTTCTGGTAAAATTTAATTTGAGTGACAATTCTTTTTTTTTTTCGATTCGTCGTCGGGATCCGAGGTCAGTGTGGTTATTTCAGCGCTGATAAATATAATAGGCTTGGGACTCAACGTCTTAGACGTGTTCAGTAGTTGAATGAATTCATCTGGATACCGACCGACATAAAAGAACGGTTGCAGTTTTTCAATCTAGAAAATAAAATATTTAAATATCGACAGCGGCATTATTTAGGTTTTTGAATAGGTGAGGCACAATTGTATTTACAATCTTCTTTTTCTTCTTCATCTTCGTCTTACACTCATCCACCCTCTCCCTGCACCTCAATAGAGCTCCTCAGATCACTTTCCATTCTGTCTATCCATTTCTTCTTTGGTTCTTCTCTTCCTCTCTTCCCCTGTACATTCATCTTTATAACAACTCTCACTGCTTCTATCTCATATCTTCTCATAACATGACCATAGAATCTCAACCTATTCTCTCTAAATTTTCCCGCAATCCTTACAACTCCCAGTTTTTTCCTTACCTATTTATTTTCTTATTCTATCCTCCATAGTCACTCCACTCATCAATCATGGAAATACTACCTCTGCTACACTCATTCTCTGTTCAGTTTTCTTGTCTACTGCCAACGCTTTGACCCATATACCATTTCTGGTCTTTCTATCGCCCTATAAAATTTACCTTTCAATTTTATAGGCATCCTCCTGTCACAAAAAAACATCTGCCGCCCCCTTCTACTTCATCCATCCACAATTAATCCTACTTTTCAAGTCCAGCTTATACCAAACATTTTTTTGTACTACCTGTCCTAAGTAATTAAATCTATCAACCGTACACACTTCATCAATACCCATCTGCATTATCTTTCTTGTCCTATAACTTTCTTCAAAATCATAGACGATTGCCACCGTTTTATTCCCACTAATCCTCAGTCCTTTCTCTTGAAGCGCTTTTTTTCATACTTCAAGTCTCTCACTCAATTCGTCCGGACTTTCTTTACTAACACTCCATCATACACCTACGCTTAAGGCTACGTGGTGGGTTATCAGGAATAGTGAGGGATGATATATTAGATATTAGTGGATTATGGCGATGGAAAGTGTTGTTGTGGAAATTATTTTAGAGTTGGGTAGCTAAAGCAGGTATTGTTGGAACTTTTAGATCGTTATGAAGAGTTCGGTTGCTGACATATCATGGGCATTAGTAAAAAGGCGAAGAGATATTAATTGGAAGAACTGAAGGATTTGGATATCTGAATTTTTTGCTGCGCCCCATAACTGGATACCGTAAGTCGTAGTAGGCCGAATGATTTGTTTGTAAATGAGAAGTTTTGTATTGTAGGGAAGTATTGATTTTAATAGTAGTCTGAGTTGATAGAGCCTGAAATTAAGTGATTTGCGTTTTAGTTTTATGTGATAGAATCAGTTAAGTTTTTTTGTCTAGGTGAATACCCAGATATCTAACGGCATTATATTAGGAGATTATGTTGTTATTAATCTGTAACGGGGGACTAATGCCTCGACGGAGAATAAACGTAATGTGTAACGACATGTTTGAATTGTTTTTAATTCTCCAGGGTTCAATCAATTTTTGTAATTAGATAATTCCTGTATCGTCTGCTATTGTAGCTAGGGTAGTATTATTCGAATGTGGGATGTCGGAGGTAATAATGTTGAACAAGGTGGGTGCTAATATACTGTATTGGGGAACTCCTACTAGTATTGATTGAAGGTTTGAGTGATCTTCATCATAGCGAACCACAAAGGAACGATTGGATAAGAATGATTTGATTATTAGGTATAAGGGAGCCGGTAAAAAATGAATTTTGTGTAAGAGACCTGCGTGCCAGACTCGATCAAACGCTTGGCCCACGTCTAAGAATACGCCCGTACAATATTGCTTGTTTTTTAGGGACTGAGCTATGATATCGACTATTCGATGTACTTGGTGAAGAGAGGAGTACTTGTTTTAAAATCTGAACTATGTGTCCGGAATTATTTTTTGATTCATAAAAATTGGATTGTTTTTTTAATAGAATTTTTCTAGTAGTTTTTAAAACGAAGGTAAGAAACTAATTGGTCGATTTGAGGATACTAGTCTACTGGTTTACCAGGTTTAAGTATTAGTATAATTATAGATTGTTTCCAAATGGGTGGTATATAAGAGAGACGGAAAATAGAGGTAAAAATGAAAGTGAGAAGTAAGATGGCTTTTTTAGGTAGGTGTTTAATAACTTTGTTAGTAATTAGTAGGAGATTTATTATTTAGTAGTTTTTTGATCATGTAATTAATTGCTGAGGGGGTAGTATGTTTTGTTGGGAAAGACATATGTAGGGTATTTGTTAGGGAATTTTCTATATATGATCGATAAAAAAATGCCAACTGTGTATTGTGTACACATTTGATCGTTTATTATAATATACTAGCGCGTTTATACAATGAAAATTCAAAGTATAAAATATAACCTAACTCATTATCAATTGAAACCCCGCTTAGGCCTCATTTAGGACTCTGGTTAACGAGTTTAGTACACGTTGGAAAAATCGTTCTATTCTACTTAAAATGTTCTAGATACAAAAAAACTCAAGGGGTCACGGGACCCTCAGTAGGAACGAAGTTCAGCTATCATATGGTTGCATTCGATTAATTTATAAAAAGTGATTGATATAAAATCTTTTTATCATATGTATATTATTATATATTACCAAATCTCGCATTTTATCATAGAAATTATTGATTTATGATGACTAAAATATGATACGTATATTTTTGACTAAATTTTGTTCAAATATCTGGAAAAACAGCATCAATGGTTGCACAATATTTTGTCGTAGATTGTGTAGGATCACTGTTCAGAGACAAATTAAACGTTTCAAAAAGAAAATTGTATTCTTTATTAAAAATATAAATATATGACAATATTCTTTATTAAGTTCCGAATGTCTTGTAGTAAAACGGGTGAAAGAATTTTAATTAGGAATAAGAAATTTGTAAGTAGTAACACGTGAAAATGAATTTGAAGTGAGGAATAAGAAAAAAATCATTAACGTGTCAGGCTTTAGTTCCAAAAAAAAAGTATAAATTAAGTTTTATATTATATTTTTTTAAAAATCTTTTAAGTATATCATGAAATTCAATCAAATAAAAATACTGGTCGATATCAAGTTCTGAACAAATACCTTGGGAGTGACTAGTAATTTGAGAAATAGGCTGGAGTAATAGCTAGAGTTTATTTTAGACACTTAAAATAATTTACTAGCTCGATGTTAAAGATGTTGTTTTTGTTATGAATATATTTGTTATTTAGTGCCTTGGTGTATGACTAAGAGGTGACTGTTTGAAGAAGCCAACAACACATCACATCGAATAAGTTTTCTCCTTGTTTCAATAAATAATACTACTTAAAAAGCGTTTTCATTGTAAGAATGTTAATAGGCCTAAAATATTATTATAAGCATAACATTTAAGAATCTGAAATTAATTCCCGTCCAGGTTTTACATTTATATTGTTAAGGCAAAGTTATGAAGTATAAATGTTATTACAATAATTCCTACCAAAATATTATGAGCTGATGTTAGTGGATACGAATAAATGTAGATCCTTTGTCTCTTACCAAAGTACCAACTAGATAAAATGTGTGATAGATAGAGAAACTATTTAAAGGATTTGATCCAGTATATATAAATATAAAAAAACACACAACATAGTAAATCCAATAGACTCTCAGTTCCACATCTAAGCTAAAATAAGACCTCGACAAATAGTTTTAATCCTTATACTACTTATAAATATTATAATATATTATTGTTTACTTGAATATCTCGAGAAACCTTCGAATCCGATATTGCGAGGGTTTTTTCTGTACCAGTTGGTCTTTGTAAAGCCCTTTTATGTAATCGTGTATGAGGATTATATTCTTCTTCGTCATCGTCTTGTCCATTAACATCGGTAGACAAGTAGAAAACGAATTTTAATTCGCTTAATTGATGTTACATAATGATAAATACTAGCTGACACAATTCGACAGTACTTTCAAGTAAAATAATATATTGAACAATACATGAATGTATAATATTTAAAAAAAATCGACTCTAGTCATCGTCTTATACACAAACATATTTTCGTTGTTAGATTTTAATGTTAGTATTTTATATTTTTTTATGTTTACAGGTGATCACATAAGACACCTACGTTGGATTATGGTTTGTGCTAATGCAAACATTGTGCAAAACGATAGACAGGGTTACACAGATTGTCAAAGACTATACAGTGAACGATTCAACCTGAATTGAATAGAGGCTAAAGAAGCTGTAACAGCGCCACCGTTGTAACAATACAATTTTTCTTAATAAAAAGCTGAGGCCTAGCTTAAGTCCAAAAATGTCCTTTATACATTTGATATAAAAATGTAGACGTTAAAATTCGGAATCTACCTTTTGATACCAGTTGATATTTGTTTTAATAATCGTAGTACTGTTTATTTTTTATTGTAGTCTTAGCCCTACATTAAATAGATTAAGACTACGGCTAAGTATGACCACGACAAATATCAAAAGAAAATAAGAAAATACTCAATATGAAAAATTGATAAAAGTTTTTATTAATTTTTTATAATTTATAATAAGGTATTAATTAATACAACACAATTTATTGTTATGAACCAAAATAAAAGTTGTCAAATAAAAATAACATGTTATTTAAAAATGCACAATGGTCAATATCAATTTCTTTAGTAAAATGAGTTTTATATTTAGTAAAATGTTAATAACCTTTAATGTAAACAAAATGTTATAATCAAACGAATTTTATTATTTAAAAAATATTAAAAGTTTCTTTGTTATATATTCGGGAATACAAAGTCGACGGATCTGTTTACATTTATATAAAACGATAGAATGTTTAATTTTAATTTTACCTGCCTTTCTTCAGTTTCACGGAAGAACTTTCTAAACATTCCTAATTGATTTCTTAAAAATTCGGGATCAGTTTTACAATGTCGTTCGACGTATTTAGTATCAATTTCAGCCACTTTATGTCCATTATTTGGTTTAATATAAGTTCCCAGTATGTGGTTTACTTCTTTTGCTAATTTGTCTACAGTATGAGATATCTTCTTGTCATCGGGCTCATATATTTCACTCAATAAAATTAGTACTTCGTTAAATAATTGTTCATCAATGTAAGCAAAGAATAATACTTTATTTACATGAAATAGTAATCTTTCATAGTCGCTTTGAAGACTGGTCCGCATTTCCGCTGTGTAGTTTAATTTTTCTTTTGTAGATGCGACTATCTTTTGATAACTAACTAAAAATATCCAAACATAGCCGTAAAATTGTGCCTTTAAGACGTCCAAAATTATTTCTAGATATTTTTTGTGTTTAAAAGGTTCTGTTGCCCATTCATATTTATTGTATTGATACCTTATATTTTCAATTTCCTTTTCGAATATACCGTATATAATATACCCTTTAAAGGTGAGGCCAGGGAAGTCTTCGAAAGCGATACCTGAAGAAGCCCACATAGATTCCACTAATAAGTTTTTAGCATTCAATGGAAATTGTTCCTTGCCCTTGACGAAACATTGAAATTTGTCATCATACATGTTTAAAATGTCGTCAGACTTTTCCTTTAGATATTTATTTTCATGACACAACGTTATCAATTTCCTAAGGGTTTCGTTAATCTCCGGTGAGTGTTCTTCTAAAGGTGTGGTTTTATAACACTGTAGATGTATATACAGTTTCCAAAGCCATTCGCTCACCGGGAATCTTGCTCTGTACGACATTTCTATCATATTGTATACGTATTTGGCAATATCGTCCAAAGAACTTTCGATTTCCGATAAACTAAACTTCAAAAGTACAATATTAGTGCACTGTATTTCTTGCATTTTGCGGCAGAATTTAAGTTGAGTAAGGATTCTATTGGTTTTTGATCCTTCGTTGTAATTTGAGTTAAGTGTTGTTATTTCTTCGTCGCTTAATTGAATGGGCTCGGAACTCAATGTCTTGTATCCGTTTAATAGCCGAATAAATTCAACTGGATACTGTCCACCATAGAAGAATTGTTGTAAATCTTCCACCTAAAAACAAGTACCAAAATGTAGATTTGAGCATTATTTTATGTATCAATAACAGCAAAAAACGATCAAATTGGTTAATGTAATTCATTGTACAATTTATGAATGTATTTTACGGTATGTCATTCTATTACCATTAGATAATAGAAAGGAAGTATAATGAGCAATTAATAAAGAACTCTTTCTTTGGTAGAGTGATAGAGAGTCACCAAAGCAAATTCTTGTTTCCACTGCTATTATTTATGTTATTTAACACTACAATAGTCGCATCATTTAATGTCACACCAGTTGTGGGCCAGTATTTGTGGGATACTCGATTCATTTTTTAAATACTTGTAATTAACTTCAAGTATTCGCGTGGATAAATAGACAAAACGTCAACACTGTATATATTAATTGAACCATTAGCAATTGAACCAATTTTTTTTTAAATCAGGTGTTTATCAAAATATTACTATCCTGTTTTTCTTTTGTATCTTTGCGTTACGACGTGACAAATGGAGTGAAATAACCTAATCTAACGGTATTTCATTTGTGGATGTAATTAATTCAAATGGAAGACATAACTGTATAAAAACGACCTATATAATGTTTTTAATATCAGAAATTACAAAATATTGACTTTTTCGACCCAAAAACCAAATGAAGACTAAAGTTACGGGACAACTGTCATAAACCTCGTACTAAAGAATAGAATAATAAATTATTATAATTCACAAAGTAATCAATTATCGTTTACTTGAATATTTCGAAAAATTTCTGAATCCGACATTGCACTGGTTATTTCTGAGGCAGTTGGTCTTAGTGCAGCCATTCTTATAATTTGTTGACGCCCCGATTTTCGAATATAATCGTCTTCGCCATCTCCACTAACCTCCGTAGATAAATAAAAAACGAATTTCAGTGCCAAAGAAATAAGCCCCAGTTGGAACTTCATAATGATGTAGAAAAGTTTTTTAAATTCGATAGTACGTTCAAGTTATACACAAGTGGTTTGAACAAAATGAACACGTATAATATTTGAAAAGAAACTCACACTCACCGTCGCCTAAAACGCAAACATATGTTCGTAATTAGCTTTTGCACATGTTATCGATAGCAAAAGTATATATATATATATAAGTAAAATATATCATGTTACCTTTACAAAAAACCTAGAAAAACTAAAAAACACAAGTCAAGAAAAAATATATCACATTTATACTTTCTTACAAACAACAATCAACTCTTTGATTAAAAGTATTAATATTTTTAACTCTACGTTGTTGTAACACATAATTTTTTTTTTTTAATTTAAAAAAAATTTTGGGATGTGGGTGAGAATGGGGTTGGGGGTGGGAATTAGCTCTGGCACATAACCGAAAAAAGTGTTACCAAAAAAAACGTTACGCTGTTATCTGATAAGAGATGAATACAACATATATTGATTTGTACCCAAATAGTTTGAATAATTTAGGCATATACTCTGTTTACATTTTTTATTTTGGAATATTTTTGTTTTTAAACTACTTTTTTTATATATTTAGTGGTTTGAAGATAAGAACTATGTTTAATCAGGTATACATAATTTTATCATCCACTTGAATATTACATTGATAATAATTATCGTTACTTTTAGTAGTTAGCATAAAAAAATAATCAAAATATCAATTGCTACAGATTGCTCTGTATTTTCGGCTAAATATTATTTATTTAAAAAGAAAATCAAGCGTATAAGTTTTCATTTGAAGTTTAAAAAGTCCACCTTTTTT